TTCTTTCTTTCTTTCTTTCTTTCTTTCTTTCTTTCTTTCTTTCTTTCATCTTATTCACTTTGTATCCCAGCTGTAGCCCCCTACCTCATCTCCCAGACCCACCCATGCCCTTTCCCTAGTCCACTATGGGGGAAGGGGGAACCCCCCTCCCCTTCTATCCTAGCCTATCAGTTCTCTTCAGGGCTGTCTGCATTGTCTTCCTCGGTGGCCCAGCAAAGCTGCAACCCCTCAGAGGGAGGTAATCAAAGAAGCAGCCATTGAGTTCATGTCAGAGACAGCCCCTGTACCCCTTACTAGGGAACCAACTTGGAAACTGAACAGGGTGTCTAGGACCTCCATGCATGATCCTTGGTTAGAGTATTGGTCTCTGCAGGGTCCTCTGAGCCCTGGTTTTTTGGCTTATTGGTATCCTTGTGAAGTTCCTGTTCGCTCCAGGTCTTTCTATCTCTAGATGTCCCTCAACTGAAGAATAGATTCAGAAATTGTACATTTACACAATGGAATACTACTCAGCTATTAAAAACAAGGAAATCATGAAATTTGCAGGCAAATGGTGGGAACTAGAAAAGATCATCGTGAGTGAGGTAACCTAGAAGCAGAAAGACACACATGGTGTATACTCATTTATAAGTGGATATTAGCCATATAATATAGGATAAACATATTAAAATCTATAGTCCTAAAGAAGCTAAACATGGAGGACCCTAGAGAAGATACTTAATCCTCATTCAGAAGGGCAAACAGGATAAACATCGGAAGCACAAGAAGACAGGGAACAGGACAACAGACTTCCACAGAGGGCCTCTGAAAGACTCTACCCATCAAGGTATTGAAGGAGACACTGAGATTCATGAGATATCTTTTACTGTAATGTGATTTTGTCATGAAGTCAGAAATGGGGAGGAAATTACTCTTCAGCAGTCAAGGTTGGGCAGAGAGAAATGACTGTGGATACCAAGTTTTATAATCCTGACAGAGTACCTGTAAGTAATGATGTTCAACCTCTAAATGGCCCAGACCTTGGGCCATTTAGAACTTAAATGGGGCTATTTGAAAAGGGGTACAGAAGCGAAGTTAATACTATCTGCTAGTTTTTAATTGGGGCAGGGAGAGTAAGTAGGCTGACAGGTGATAGAGAAATTATAAGAAGTGACAGAAGCTACTGCAAGTCCAATGGCCTTGAGGAACAGTTTGTGAAACAGAATCTGCTGATGATCAGATCCGAACTTCCCCAAGGGTTCAGCTTCTGCTTTACAGAGACAACTCTGTAAATAGACCAGCCCCAGGGTAACTGCAGACGATTGAGTGTGGTAAAGAGGGATTGCGGTTGTCTGCTGGTGTATCTGGGGAAAGCAGTTGCTATCCTTGAGGAAGAAAAGGTGGAGGAGAGTGGCTCTCAGCCTGTCAGTGACATCACCATTGCAGTCTGTGAAGTCTTAGTCTTTCATTTATGACACAGTGGGTCTTCTATCTGTCCTAAACCTGGCAGCCTCGTTGAGGATCACAAAACATCTCCTCCTATATGACAGTAAGATGGAAATTACTAGCAGGCGAGAATTCATTCCTGCCAGTGGAGAAACAAGGAATCAGTCAGTTTTTGATATCTTTTCACTTTTAATAGACTGTCAGACTATTTATTTTGTGCATGGCACAGTGATTAACAATCCTTGGTTAATATTCTTTCACATGGTTATCTTTGATGCAACATTAAAACATACGAATGATAGCTTTAATGATCAGAATGTATATATGTTTACATTTACAGCTGTGAAATTCTTTATCCTATAAAAAACACAATATTTTCTATTGATTACCTGATTTTTTTTTAATTTACCCCTTTCTATTTCTTAAATGGATAAATGTCTTTGACAAAGGTTCAAAGAAATAGAATTATAAAAGGGAGATAGGGGAGGTGTGACGATAAAAATTAAATGATATTTTTTGGCAAATTAGTTATGAGCACAGTCTTTCAGAAAACTCTTGGCTGCTTTGTTGGCCTTCCTGCTCAGATGAAAGGGTATCCTAAGACACAGAGGCTCAGGAAACACACAGTTCTGAGAGGAAGTCTCCTCAGCAGAGGTGGTGTTGAGCTGTGGAGCTAAGTAGCCTCAGTCCTGCTCCGCGTCTTTGATTCTTTCCTTCTTTCTCTTAATTGCTTCTTGACTTTTTCTGATGAGAGAGTCACACCAGGCAGCAAATCTCATAAAAGGGATTTTTTTTTTTTTGGAAGGTCCAGGGTGTGGAGAGAAGAATCCAGGGTTGGATGCCTGTGCTCCTGGGAGAGGGCAGCAGGGAGCTGAACAGACAAGGATTTCTTAGTGGGTGGATCTTTCTAGGGCAGAGATATCTAGGGTGAGGATTGGTGAAATTTCAAGTCCTAAGTTTGGGGGAGCTCAGGGATTGGTGGCTTCTTATTCAGACTTTTCTAAAACTAGCATATCTGGGAAAGGTCCTATTGAGGGGCTGGAGATGACCTTTATGACAGTTACAGAAGCTGGAAATGCTGCTATGACAGAGAGGTCTCCAGGAGGGGCTTGGCTAGTGGAGCTCCTCAGGGAGGGCCTAGCCACTTTCCTGCCTTAAGGGTTTACCAAGTTTACAAAGTATACAAAGTTTACAAAGGCAGTCCAACACAGGGAAGCTTCCCTGCCCCTGGAGTAATCCACATTCTGCCTGAATAGTCAACATGCTTACCATTTGGGATTTGTGATAACTTAAGAATGTCCTCTCTGAGAATTGATCTTAAATATGTAGAAACATCAACAGAAAGCTATATTATATGAGCATCCACTCTGACCTTAAACAACTCCAATTATTAAAACATACCACTTTTAAAGTCCCAATCCCTGTCTTTTACAAAATGTGTTGGTTAGTTTCACTTCAAAAAGGTTCCATTGCTTTCTTGTTCCTTTACTAAATATGGTTATATATTTTTTGTGATATATATTGTTTACTATTAGTCTGTAGCTATGTGGAATTTGCGCCCTTGTTTTTATTAGGTTTTCTTTCCTTAGGTAAATTGTGCTTGGCAATAGTAGAAATGATAGTGTTCCAGTAACGATAATTTATTGGTCATATTTTGTCATATATGGTTAACAAAACATTATGGAATTGTTCTGAAAAGCCACTAGTCTCTATAGTGGAAAATAGTTGTTTTTAAATTAGAAGAGGATTAATGAAAATGGAACTTTCATGATGTTCTTAATGCCTTTGTCAGAAACAAAAGAGCTTGCTTCCCCTTTGTTTGTTCAGTGCCATGTGAGAACTGATTTTTGTGGATTAAATCAACAAAATGGCCGTTTTGTTAAAGCACCCAAAGTAAAGAGTGCAAAATTGTGTTCAGTGTACTTACCTGACCTGAGAAATAAATAAATAAAAGGCCCTATGCTCACAGAAAAAAAAAAAATTCAGAATATATTCATTCACACTTAGCATTGATTTCCTAGACCATTTTATAATTAGGAAATTTTTGAAAATTATTAAGAAAAAATATGCTCATCAATAAAGCTTTTAAAAATCCAACTATATTGCTCTTACCTTCCTAATTTGGGGAGAAAGTTCTGCAGAAGTTAAACCTGGCATATGACCATAATCCCAGTAGTTGGAGAGTAGAGATAGGAGAATCAAGAGACCAGGGCCAGCATAAAACAGTCTCAAAAATAAAAATGCACTGCATTCCTTCAGTAATTCAGTAGCATTCTTGTGAATCTTTACTTCCATGTTGCTTCCCCTTGTTGATTTTAAAACTCAAGGGGCATGGTAACTCCAATTTTATACAAGTTGTATAGTGCGTATTTTCATAGGATCTGGGGTAGGGGGAACCAAAGACAAAAGTGAGTGTCCTTCCTCAAGAGCTTCCCATGATGTTTTTAGAGAGATTCTCTATCTATCTATCTATCTATCTATCTATCTATCTATCTATCTATCTCTATCTCTATTTTTATCTCTTTCTCTCATATTGACTGGAGCTGGCTAGGTACATTAGGCTGGCTGTCCAGCAAACAGTAACAAATTTGGTTTGGTTTGGTGTGTGTGTGTGTGTGTGTGTGTGTGTGTGTGTGTGTGTGTATGTGTGTGTTGTGTATGTTGTTGTTGTGGATT